TAAATCCTGTTAAATCAATGCATAGACACAGCAGCAGCAGAGGTAAATAAGCTGTGGAGGTCTGAATACCAATAAAGAAGATAAAAATGGTTTTACATAGCTACTTACATCACAGCTTAGAAGTTCAGTCTGTGTAGATTTATCTACTCTTGAAGCAAAAGCCTTCTGTAAATGCTGAACTTTTTCCTGCAAAATGAAAAGAATAATTGTATTGTTGGTAAGTCATGTGCTTCTATACTAATAGTCCCCACTTATTAAAATATGATTGGTATGCAATTCATTATCTTCTCAATGTGTACAGACGGTGGTTTTCAAATCAGCCTAAATATTGATAGCTTTAATTTTCACATCACAATTATCCTACCTTAGGTATGTTTTCTTCTTTCTAGTCTAGAAGATATGGAGTCAAAGTCATAGTTGATTGTTGGACACAATTTGCTTGAATCTAAGACCACCTGTTTATATTTTTAGCTGTTTTTATTTCAAATTTTTTTTAGTTGTAGATGGACACAATACCTTTACTTTGTTTTTATTTTTATGTGGAGTTAGGGATCAAACCCAGTGCCTCAAACATGCTAGGCAAGTGTTCTACCACTGAACCACAATCCCAGACCCTGTGTTAGCTGTTTTTTCATAACTAAATTGATATGATTTTGTTGATCTCATTTCAAAATATTTAAATTTCAAAGCATTTTCAATACATGAGAGAGCCATAGGATTCAATTTAGTTTGTGTTAAAATTTTTATGCTTCTTAATTCTCTCTAGGAATCCCTACACATTTGGAAGTCTGTCTTTTAAGGAACTGACACTACCCCAACCCTGTGATAACTGGGTAAGAGGAGGAACACATGAAGGAAATCTGGGGTTTCATATTTCAAATGCAAGGGTACTAATTCTTGATCCATTTATTTAACTGGATTTTGGTGTGTGGGCTTCTTTTCTCATTCCAAAACCTTAATAAAATAAAACAGGATCATGGACTTAATTATTATGTAATGTATTTACAGCTGAGAGATTTGTTCTCTCATGATCACATCTCATGTTGGGTTACTACTGTCACTCTTCCCCCTGCTACCCTCCTACACCTACTAAAAGTTAAACCTAGTGACTAATAAGTCACATCCCCAGCCTTTAAATTTTGAGATGAGGTTTTTCCCAAGTTGTCCAGGCTGGCCCTGAAATTTCAATCCTCCAGCCTCAGCCTGCTGCAGTAGCTAGAATTACAGGAATATACCACCCGGCCTGGCTTCTATTACCATCCATTTTAAAAAGAGAGAATGCAGCTTAAAAAGTTTAACTTAAGAAAGTTCCCAAAGAATTTGTTTAGACTAGCCTATGTTTAGACTTCACTTTTCCTTTAGGAAAATTCCTTTCATTTTCTTTTCTTCTGAATGCTTAACAAGATAGTTTTATAATACATTAATGATTAAACACAAAACAAAACAAAAAAATTACAATTTACTTTCAATTTTCCCAGGATTTTCAGTAGTTATCAAAAATCTCAATCCAGAATTCCAATTACATAAGTTTCTTCCTTCCCCTCTCACTTTTTCCTCCTTGCTTCCTCACTTGGTTTCCCTTTCCCTCCCCTCCACATCACTCCTTCAGTTCTGGGATTTGCAAGATTACTTGGGATTTTGAATGAATTCTCAATACTATTTAGGTAAACAGAGTTTGTTTTATTGTAAAACAGAAAAGAAATATTATAGGTACTTTTAATGTCTCATACTTTCTAATATCCTTAGTCATAAAAATTCTAGTGCAGCTATTCAGACAAAAATGAAAATTAGATTAGACATTTCAAGATGTGATATGAGGTAAAACTGATAAGTGTCTGAAAAAAATTAAGTGAAAATGTGGCTGCATTGTCCAAATTAAAAGGAGCAGGAGGGCTGGGGCTGTAGCTCAGTGGAAGAGCATTTGCCTAGCATGTGTGAGGCACTGGGTTCCATTCTCAGCGCCACATAAAAAAATAAACAAAGGCATGCTGTCCATCTACAACTATAAAAGAGATTAATTTAAAAAATGAGCAGGAGCACATTATGTTTATTCAGATGTATATTAGAAAGGGTGTTGGAGAAGAACAGGGAGAGTTAAAAAATAGGTACAGAAAGCAGTATTGTTTGCTATCATTGAAAGATTGCTCAGAAAAGTTTGATTATCTATTTTTGAGGTAGATGGAATCATAAACATCTAAAAATTAAATTTCCATAAGTATATAAACTTTGTGTATGAATTCGAGAGCAAGAGAAAATAGCTAGGAAAAGTTTCCATTATGCTTCACCTCACATTTTTATTGTTAAGGGCTTCTGTCCTAGGATAGGAATTGGAATGGTCTGGTAAAGTTGGCCTCATTGGGCTGAGTAATGAATCTAAGGAAATTCAAAAAAATGTAAATATAAAACTCAAATAGCTTCATAACCAATAGCCTGATCAAAGCAAAACAACAATAATTTTAAAAATACCTAATGAGGGCTGGGCTATAGCTCAGTGGTAGAGCACTTGCCTAGCATGTGTGAGGCACTGGGTTTGATCCTCAGCACTACATAAAAATAAATAAAATAAAGGTATTATATCCATCTACAATACACACACACATACATATATATTTAAATACATATATTTTAAAATATCTAAATAAAAACAATTACATTTAGACACAAATAAACAGACACATTTTCAATCAAAAAGTCATTATCACTCTTTTTTATATATTTGGATTATGTATTATGTATTTATATGTGTGCCATATTCAAATGTGGAGAGTAATTATAAGCTTCTAATAGACAACTTAAGTAACAAAAATAAAAAATTAAAAATTAAAAATCTATACCCATAACAATATATATACTTGTCTTTAAGTTTCCCTTTTCAAACAAAAACAATATCATTGGGATTTTTTTTCTTACTTAAGATCAATAAAACATATACAGTAAAACAAAGAAAAAAGACTATTATAGTAGTGTCCATGAAAAAAAATTACAAAATGGAAAGAAAAAGAAATTTCACGATGTTATTTTTGATGATGAATTATTGTGTGATCTGAGTATTGAATTTTGAATGTAGAAATTTTGAATATTATATAATATTGCTACTTGAACAAAGGTTAATGTTTTTTCTTAGCAAATTTCCAAGTTATTTTATTTGAGATTAAATGTGATATAATAACTATTTGTACAAAAAATTCGACTACCATAAATAAATGCATAAAGCTAAAGAAATGTGAGTTACACATTTACTTGATTATATTCACATTTTCTTTCCTTCTGTAATCTTTACCACTATAAATATTACTAATAATAATGGATTCCATTGATAGACTGCAGGTTTTATGGCACTGTACCAGCAAAATAAATAAATAAATAAACACATAAATATACATATATATTTCTTGTTTACATAGTATTTTCCCACTTTTAAAGAACAGGAAATTTATTCTTAGTAAGATTAAATCAATTCCTAAAGATCATACAAGACAGTAAGTAGATAAAAGATGAAAACCTAATTTTTCTCTCCTTAAACTCTGGTGCCAGGGCTGGGGTTAAGGTTCAGAGATAAAGTGCTTGCCTAGCAAATACAAAGCCCTGGGTTTGATCCTCAGCACCACATAAAAATAAATAAATAAATAAATAAAGGTATTGTGTCCAACTATAACTAAAAAATATTTAAAAATATATTAAAATAATAATAATTTTAAAAACTGTGGTGCCCTTTCTATATTCTGACTCTGGAAAAGCTTTACAAATGTTCTGTCTCCAAATCATATATGCAAAGAAATATACCAAATATGAGGTTTTTATAGTTACTTCACAGTCAATAATTATAGGTGGTTAATAAAGCAGTATTCTTGATATTTACCCTACCCATGGTCTTTTGGGGATCTATTAAGTTATTTTACTTTTCTCGGGAAACCCTTTAAGATTACTTAATATTTACTGATGTATTTCCTTTAAAGGTTACAATTCCACGAAATACCCATTACTATAAATATGATCAGTAATGCACTTTGGAGCATGGGTTACAAATAGAATGACTGTTTGCACTATAACACAAAATTGGAAACAAGATGTGTAAAAGCAAACAAGTAAAAACAAATTTTGAAGAGGCATGAAATCCTTCAATAGCAACAATATTATCAGTTTAAAGAAGAGAAAATATTCTGTTTAAGCTTTTAGAATAGGGTCAGGAGTGTGTATGTATTATACACTGGGTAGTGATAGAATCTGCCTTCACAATACATGCTTTCCACATAAAAGTTGTTCTTTAATATCTCTTAGGATTTTTAATTTAAATTTCATCAAAAATATATTTCTATTGAATGCTAGAGGGAAAAAATAGGTACCACTGACTTGTGCATATTTTACATTGGCATTTGGATCAAGCACATGGCACCGAGAAAGTATTGAAGAGGAGGAAATGTGATATAAACAAAAAACAAGAAAAAATCATGACAAGCTAGTGAAACTGATTTTTTATGTTAAGCTTTAATGTTTTTAAATTGGTGCATCATGATTTTACAAAGTAGCAGAATTCATTGTGATAAATTCGTATGTGCACATAACATAATCTGGTCAATTCCACACCTATTACATTCTCTTCCTCTCTCCTCTTTCCTTCCCCAATCCCATTTCTCTCTCTACTCTTCTGATCTTGCTACTTTTTTTTTTATTTTATAAATACTATTTTCCCCTTTCTTTCTATCTTTCACATATGAGCTAAAACATCACCCTTTACTTTCTGAGTCTGGTTTATTATGAAAACATATGACCCTTGACTTTCTGAATCTGGCTTATTTCACTTAACATATTGCTCTCAAGTTCCATCTATTTTCTTGCAAATGACATAATTCCATTCTTTGAAAACTCCACTGTGTGTATATCCCACATATTCTTTATCCATATGTCCATTAACATGCACAACTTGTCTATTATGAATTGTGCTGCTAAACCTGAATGTGCATGTATTGCTAAAGCATGATGATTTAGTTCTTTGTATAAATACTGAGGAGTTGTATAGCTAGGTCATAAGGTGGTTCTACTCCCAGTCTTTTGCGGAACTCTATACTGATTTCCATAGTGGTTGTATTAATATTAATCCCACATCTTCACCAGAAATTTTTATTATTTGTGTTGATGATTGTCATAAAATCATTTTTATCAAATGGCTTTGTGAAATCAAACTAAAC